TAGCTGTGGCAAATGGGGCGCACCCGGCTCGTGTCTGATCCCAGATGAAGAAAGGTAGGCGGAAAACTCATTTGATAGATATTCTCCTCCGTTGTCGGTACGAAGAGCAATGATTTTGTGGGAGCCACTTTTCTCAAAGAATGCGCGAAAGATTTTGAAACATGCGAAGGAGTTGCTTTTTAATTTCATAGGAAAGACATGAAGAAATTTGGAACAATCGTCGACAAAAGTGATGAAATACTTATATCCCTCCCTAGAAACAACCTCGTATGATGCCACATCGGAGTGAATGAGTGGACCAGGCTTTGAGGACCGATGGGTGGTGCGGGATTTGAAAGCCTTACGGGGCATTTTAGCTTGGACACACGTCGGGCACCGTTGGACATCGATTTCATTCATCACTGAGGGTATAATGTTGTTAGACTTCAGCAGTGACTTGAGGGGTTTGAGACCAATGTGGGAGAATCTTTGGTGATAACCGAGGAGGGAGTGGTCAGGGGGGGAGGGGGAGAGAGAAAGAGAAGAACAGGACCTCACAGGGTCTGACGGAAGATAGTAGAGATTTCCTCGCCTGTAGCCTCGTCCAGCTACGTTGCCTTCTATTTTGACCTCGCTTGATTTGATGATGTCGCAAGACGTCTTGGTGAAAACAACCGTGAGTCCAGCATCGCAGAGAGCCGCCACCGACAGAAGAGGTTCATGGAGAGAGGGAACCACGAGTGTCTTGACCTTGGTTTCTCCATCAATGGGGAGTTTGGAGACGCCTTTATGGGTTGCCTCCACAACAGAATGATCGGCTAGGCGGACCGGGGTGGAGTCAGTTTTTGGGTTTTTGACAGAGTGAATATCAGGGGTCATCGACATCGAGCAGCCAGAGTCGAGATTAGCATTGCCAGTGCCGGAGTGGGTGTTGGAGACAAACAGGGATGCAACCGCATTGCCTGCAGTAACCTCAACCTCGGAGCCTGAGAGTTAAGATTTCTGTAATATAGTTTGATTGAGAAAGGGTGAGATGATCCTCAACGCGATTGATGTTCATTCCAAGAAGAGAGTTGATTGGGCCTAAGTCCTCCATTAAGAAACGATCCGAAATGAATTTCTTGAAGCAAGCGACATCACCGGAAATGACCACCAAGTCATCCACATACACATGCACGAGACAAAGCCAATCGGGATCATTGCTCTTGAAAAGACAAGGATCATTCGCAGTTGGCGAAAAATTGACCGAGGCGAAGAAGGATGCTAGTTCACGATACCAGACTCGAGGTGCTTGCTTCAAGCCATAGATTGATTTGATTAAGCGAAGACAAGTCCCGGGTGGAGCAGTCAATCCGGCAGGAATACGTAGATAAACAGTTTCTTCCAAAGTGCCGTTTAAGAATGCGTTCTTGACATCCATTTGATGAATGTCAAGACCGTTATTCACCCCGTAAGTCAACGCAGCACGTAGAGCCGGTGCTCTCCCAGTCGGAGCATAGGTTTTGTCGTAGTCAACACCGCTTTGTTGAGCACTTCCTTGTGCACAGAGCCTCGCTTTGAATTTGACGAAGTTACCAGCAGCATTACACTTGATGCGAAAAACCCAAACGCTGCCAAGAAGAACCGCTCCTTCGGGAATTGGAGTAACCTCCCATACGTTGAGGCGATCCATAGCAGAAAGCTCCGTCTTGATGGCTTCAATCCAGTTGACCGAATCAGGAGAGTTAACAGCAGCTTTGTATGTTTTTGGTACAGTATTAGCTTCCTTGATCGAACTAAAACAAAGGCTTCTGTTAAAGAAAGGAACAAACCACGGTTCAGAAGTCTCTTCTTGATTCACAAGATGAGCCCGACGTTTGGTGGTTAGGATGTTGTTGGGATCGGTAGGATTGGATGAAATGTTTTTTGGTGCAAGTTGATCTGCAGGAGCGTAGTACCAACCAGGTTTTGAAGTTGAGGTGGTTGAAGTTGACAGAAGTGGTGATACAGAGGGTGGTTGTTGACCAGTTTGAAGACCAGCAGTTGCAGTTGGTGAGACTGCAGCCTGCGCATCAACCGGTTCAACTTCCTCTTCAATATGCAAATTTGATGACGAAGGAGTATCCGAAGGAACGGAAGAATCCGCAGATAACCCAGTACAGTTAATCGGCAACCCAGAAGAAGAAGATTCCGTAGAAGAATCTTCCTCAATGATAAAGTCATTATAGACTGGCACACTCGGGGAGATTCCTGGAAAAGAAGATTCATTGAAAGTCACATCATGACTGTACTCAACCCGAGTGCCCGTCAGTATCCTCCAGTTAGGAATACCGAGTCTATACCCAACAAGAATGCCAGGTTTAGAGGTGTCGCCAAATTTTCCCTTCCTCAAATCACCAGGAATGTTGAGAAAAGCTTGACAACCGAAAATTCTGAGTCTTGAGTAATTGAAAACGAATCCAAACCACAGTTCATGAGGAGTTTTCCATTTTAGCTTTTTCGTAGGAGTAATGTTCTCATGAAGGACGGCAGTGGTGACCGCCTCCCCCCACAAAGTAGAAGGTAAACCTGCCTCTTTCAAAAGTGACCTAGCCTTCTCACTCGTTGTGCGATTACCCCGTTCCGCCACTGAGTTTTGTTGAGGAGTGTACGGTGCCGTGATGTGATGCTGAACACCCCGATCCTTCAAATATGCCTCAAAAATCAAAGAACAGAACTCGCCCCCACCATCGATAACTAGATTGATGAGTTTTTTAGAATGAAAAGTAGTGACTTCTTCATAATATTCCTTAAATTTCTCAAAAGCTTGATTTTTCGATGATAAGATGTAAACATGTTTGTAACCAGAAAAAGAATCTGTGATTTTGGAGTAGTATGAGGCTTTTCCTAAAGTGGACGGAGTAATTTTTCCGCTGAGATCCATGAAAACATAATCTAGGATACATTTTGGTTTTGGAAGTTGGCTAGAGAATGGCAGTCGATGAGATTTAGAGAGTCTACAAGCTGTACAATCCATAGTGGAATAACTAGCATCAAACATTTTTCCTAAAGCTTCTCGACTTGGGTGACCGGCTCGCCTGTGAAGTAGTCCAGAGTCAGTATTTGATGAGACTTTGAAAGACGATGAACTAGCCGACAGACCTTGAGGTTGAACAACAGTTGCTTTCAAGACGTAAATGTTGCTGATGATCTCAGTATCGAATAGGACGACATTTTTTGAAGAATCCTTCAGATAAAAATGAGAGCTATTTCGACGGATTAAATCACAGTTGTTCAGAGCTAGACGGGCAAGACTGAGAAGAGCATGAGTCAATCCAGGAACATGCAAAGCTTTCACGTTAAAAATGATACCGTCATTGCTTTTGATTGCAATTATCCCCGAACCGAGAACAGGAAGAGATTGACCGTTCGCAACGTTCACAGCCGACTCGCTAGACTCATAACTCGTAAAATGTCGTTTGTTTGGAAACATGTGATCTGAGCAGCAACTGTCCAGAAAAATAAGAGAGGAATTTTCCTGAACAGCCATTGCTTGAGGATCGGTGACACAAACATAAACTCCACTGATGTTTTCAGTTCCGACAGAGTTAGCCTTTTTCTTCGGATTAGCTTGACGTTTCTTGTAAGATTCGGGTGCTTTCTCCAGATGCAATTGAAAGCAGTTAGATTTTGAGTGTTTCGCGTTATCGTTGTGACGACCACCTTCACAGTAGACAATTGTTGTTTTCAGAGCGGATTCAGACTTGATAGCCGGCACATCAACGGAGTTCGACGGGGTACCGGTGGAACTTAGTTGCTTTGAATTCAAATAAGTACGAATCGTGCCAATGTCTAAAGGTCGTTTCGTGTAAATGATCTCTTTAGAGTTCTCTAGCTTTTGAGGTAAGAGATTGACAATATACTCAGCAAGTAACGTTTCGTCGATCGTAGTCTTGTCCATCTTGACAATCTTGATACCAACTGAGCGAAGATTTGAAATACCAATGTCGATATCCGAGATGAATTGCTCGAGCGTTGAAGTGAATCCAATGTTTAAGAAATCACGATATACTACGGCATGATTTTGAGAAGTGTCTGATTGAAAATGATCGATCAGAGCCTTCCAGATAAGATGAGGTTCCTTCTTGTTCTCATCGGTAATGAATTTGGCGTAATTTTCTAAGCCAAGATTTCTTCCAAGAATTCCAGCAGCTGCAGCTTTCTTGTCTTGAAGAGTAATTTTAGCCACTGCATCCTTTTCATTCTTTACCAAGTCAGAAAGTAAATGATCGTCCAGATTTCTTTCAAGACAGTAAGAATACATTATGTTCTTCCAATTTTGAAAGTTGACCTTGGTAAGTAAGGGAAGATGGTGAATCGATTTATCGGTCATTGCGTTGAAAAACTTGTGTTCGATGAGGTTGCAGATTAAGCACGATCTGGGCTCATAACCTAATGAACAACGAGCTTTAACAAGATGGTGATATTAGTGTCTAAACGACAACGACTAATATGACCTCGCAGATAATCACAAACCTTTAACAAGATGGTGATATTAGTGTCTAAACGACAACGACTAATATGACCTCGCAGATAATCACAAACCTGAAGTTTTAAGGTTGAGGTTAGTGAGAGAACAAGTTGGAGTTTGATGAAACAATTGATTGATTCCATATACACACCTTTAACAAGATGGTGATATTAGTGTCTAAACGACAACGACTAATATGACCTCGCAGATAATCACAAACCTAGACATGAAGAGAGAGTTGAGATGTTAAGAAGACAACAACGTGATCTGACTTTTTAATAAGAGAAACGAACCTGAAGTTTAAGGTTGAGGTTAGTGAGAGAACGAGTTGGAGTTTGATGAAACAATTGATTGATTAGAGAAAAGTACCGGTACAATGAAAGTAAGGTAATTATAGTCAATCAACTAGGTTTCGAGCTACAACTGCTGCGCTAATGATAATTGTGTATATGAATAAAGTATGCTTAAAATACAAGAAGAATAAATAAATAACTAACTTAAAAGAGAAAGTGATAAGTAAAACCTTTTCAGTTCAACATGAGTAGTCGGACTCCTCATCGTCATTGTACTTGTGAGACGATCCGCCAAGAGTGACGGCAGAGGTGCGACCAGCTCGAGCCGTTGGTTTACCGGACTGGGTCTGGCGTCGATCCTGGTCTTTAGATTCAGTTCGGCTTTTCTGGGAGGCTTTGTGTTCGTCAAGAATACGCCTAGTGTTGTTGCAGTTATTGAGGTCGTGACCATCCGTGTTACAGAAATCGCAATGGCGCTTCTTGTTACAATCTCCGGGCCGCTTACCGGTTTGTGGTTTAGTCTTGGTGGAGGAAACCGATACAGCAACCTCGTTTTGGGAGTGACGGCGGGTATGCTCATTTTTAAGAGCCAAGACAATTGATTCAGTGCTCACACCCTCTTGGTTCATGAGGTGAGATACACATCCCATCCAGTCATCGGGGATAGAACTGAGCAGTGCGGCTGAATGGACATCGGCGACGGTGAGGGGTTTTTCGGTGGTGACGAGAGAGTTAAGCCGGTCGTACGCTTTTGCCATAGTGTTGATGTGAGATAGAACATCATCCCCATCCATTTTGGTTAGGAGTAGCTTGCGGAGCCAGTAAACGCGTCCGCCAGTCGACGAATCCTGATGAGCGCGGACGATCGCTCCCCACATCCCATACGTGTTGCGCTTGTATGGACGAATAGCGATCAGATTGGAAGAGTCGATCGTTTGCGTGAGGATAGCGCAAACGGTTTTATTGTCGGCCGTCCACGCCGCCGACGGACGTTCAGGGAGAGGTTTTTCTATGACATAGTCAATGCCGACTGAGTCAAAGTAGGATGTGATTACGAGTTCCCAATCGAGGAAATTCGAATCGGGACCCGGAGATTGTAGGACGTGCAGTCTAGCGACTGCCGATTTGAGAGATACCGACGACGGTGTATCAAATTCGGTGTTGTTTCCAGACGTCTCCGCGGCCGGTTTCTTTGAAGAATCGCCATCCGCCGACATCGTGGAGAGAGAGACGGAATGCGGGCGGGGAGCAGATAGAATGCGATGATAACGTGAACCGATTGCCCGAGCGATACGAGACCGGAGAGACAGGCAAACAGGTGACAGAGCCAGATGAGAAGGAGTTCTCTGGCCGACTAAGTATACGACGAGACCGGAGAGACAGGCAGACAGATGATAGAGCCGGATGAGGGGGATTTCTCTGGCCAACGAAGTATACGATGATCCTTTAGCTTTAGACGAAGATTAACACTCGAGTACGCCTTATTTAACGTGCCGGAAGCTGCTTAAAAGCTGGAGCCTAGCGCGGGCTCATAACCTGATGAGCTAGACAGAGCTGAGGACAGCAAGCACAAGGTGGGTGAGTGATTGATGTTTGTGGAAGGATCAGTTCATTTCACATGAGAAGGAAAGAAAAGAAAGAAAAAGAAGAAAGAAAGAAAAGAAAAAGAAAAAAAGGCTACTATACCTGAGGACAGCAAGCACGAGGTGGGTGAGTGATTGATGTTCGTGGAAGGATGAGGAAAGAAGAGCTTCCACGAGTGCTGCCTCAGGTATACTACAACTGTGTGACATGAGTGTGAAATACAGGTGACATGTATAAAGCAGAGAAAAAGGAAATGAGATGAGAAGGAAACTGATCAGCTCAACAAGTCCAGGGGCGTTCTGGATCATTTTGAGAAGAAAGGGAAGGAGGAGGAGGAGTTGTACAATGCTTAAACTTGGTAGTCTGCCAAACAAGTTCAACAATGCCATTAGATTTTACAAAGTCAATCAGATAAGCAAGTCTTGGAAATAAAAATCCGGGAACAATGCCAAATAAAGTGGGGGGTCTTTTCAGTGCAACTCGGGGAAGAGGTTTGGTCAACATATTGGGCAGCATGTCCTTGGTTGACACATGAATCAGGGAGATTTCATCTTCTTGCACACATTCTCGGATGAAGTGATAGCGGGGGTGGATATGTTTAGTCCTGGCATGGTGTTCTGGGTTTTTTGCTAATGCCTCCCGCCCTTCATTATCAACATGCAGTGGGATTGGCTTGTCTGGTCGGAGACAAAGTTCTGTGAGGATGTGTTGAAGCCAGAGACCTTCTTTGCAGGAGTCGGAGAGAGCTTTGTATTCCGCTTCGGTACTAGAGAGTGACACCGTGGCTTGTTTTCTGGATTTCCCAGAGATGGCTTTCTCACCAATACAATAGGTGTAGGCCGATGTTGATCTCCTGTTGTCTCGGTTTTCCTGCCAGTCCGAGTCCGAATAGCCC